TAGTTCATTATTAGTTCATTAATCAATTATTAAATTAGTTAATTTTTAGTTCATTAATCAATTATTAAATTAGTTCATTATTAGTTCATTAATCAATTATTAAATTAGTTAATTTTTAGTTCATTAATCAATTATTAAATAACTTAATTATTAGTTCATTAATCAATTATTAATTTTTTTAATTATCAGTTCATTAATCAATTATTAATTTTGTTAATTTTTAGTTCATTAATCAATTATTAAATTAGTTAATTTTTAGTTCATTAATCAATTATTAAATAACTTAATTATTAGTTCATTAATCAATTATTAATTTTTTTAATTATCAGTTCATTAATCAATTATTAAATTAATTAATTTTTAGTTCATTAATCAATTATTAAATTAGTTCATTATTAGTTCATTAATCAATTATTAATTTAATTCGACCCTAATTGACAGAGCTCCCCTCTGGAGCCAAAAGTAGCGAAGAAGAGGAGGGAGAAGAGGAGGAGAAGGAGGGCCGAACCGGACTGAACCCAGATGGGTCAGAAGCTGCAGGGGAACCGAACCAGTACCGGGCGTCTCTGACTCCCACAGTGGGTCCCTGAGCCAGACCCTAACCGCTCCCTGCTCCTAGATGATGGCAGATTGAGTCTCTGACAGTTAAACAATAAAAAGAGGTTACCATGGAAACGGCTGGCCTGCTGGTAGAACCCAGTGGACCAGAACCAGCAGGTTCTGGACTGGTCCAGGTTCTGCTCCGCCTCAGCCCAGCTGAGGTTCAGAACCGAAGTGCTCACCTGGTACCGGGACCCCTCGGTACCGTCCCACGCAGAGTCCTGGGTCTCTGGCAGGCTCCAGCTGGTCTTCACCTCCCGGAGGTCCAGCTGCTGCAGCACCGCCTGCAGCAGCGCGTGGAGGGCGCTGAAGTTGACCGAGCCGCTGTGGGTGGGTCCCAGGGACTCCTCCAGCAGCTCCCACAGGCTGATGTTCCGATCCATGTTTGGACCGACGCTAAGCTTTACCTACCGAACCGTTAGTGAGCAACTCCTCCACAACTTTCATCCAACCGTTAACAGCGAGTAAAACTGACCGGAAACAGATGACTGACCTTTCACAATAAACCTCATGTCTACAGTTTCATTTGTTCATAGAGGATTGAAATGCTGGGAATGAGGAATGCTGCAGAGTAAACCTGACTGGATGATCTGGTTTATCTGGATCTATGAATCGATGATGTGAAGTTGAGTTACAGAAATAAACTGCACTAAAAACAACTGATCAAATTTACTGGAAAAAATAAAACATTTTTTGTTTTATATATTCATGTGAACTTAAGAAACAATAAACAGTGAATCCAATCTGCTTATCTCTCCAATCTATAGATCTATCTAATTTAATCTAGTCTGATAGATGTGGGGACCTGAGTTCTTTGCTATTAGAGGACAGATTGTTATCTGGAACGGTCCTCCGTCCTCTGCTGGACAGGAGACAA